GTGTTCTTGAACCTTAACTTCTTCTTCTTCTACTACTTTTTCTCCTCCTTCTAAGTTCTCTTCTTCTTCTCCTTATAATTCTTCTTCTCCTTCTTCTTCTTCTTCTTCTTCTTCTTCTTCTTTCGATATTTGAACTTTCTGTTTTCCCTCGCTGGTGGTCGTTGCATCCTCTACTTCCACGGCACTATGGCCGGCGGTGCCAGCGACATTGGAGGGGGGAGTGGCGGGTCTGGACGGAGGAGGAGCAAAACGGCAAAAGGAAAAGGAAAAGGAAAAGCTGCGATCACCTCCACTACACCCGCATCCACAGTGACCTCCAAAATTCCCCTCTCCACCCCCCTTCCCCCCCTCCCCCCCTCCTCCACACGCATGACTTTCACAAGTTTCTCTGCGGATTCGAGCTCCTCTCAGCGAGCGCACCCCAACCCCATCTTCAAAAAAAAATCTTGGGATGTTTTTTGGCTCGTCTGGTTTTGCCAGACGGAACCCCCCCCGGTCCGTCTGGCCTGGTCTATCTGGCCCAGTCCGTCTGGGCCGGACGTCGGCCTAACCCAGAAATAATAACCATATTATAATAAATTTGTATATATCATATCGTCAAACATCATATATATCATCAAGCAGAGCTGCCCGATAAACCGTAGGCAGAGAGGCAGAAGAGGACAACAAACGAGGGGCTGTGACAAATTGTTTCCTCGAAGTTTCACCGACTCATCAGGAGGCTGAATTTGTCACATATCTACGAACTAAAAGAGCGCACTTTGCAAAAAAAAACAGTGAAAAAAAAAAACAAGACCAACATGAGGGGCACACCGAAACCATTCATTTTTCTCATTCTTCGTTTAACTCCCCCTTCACCGTGGCTCTCACGTATAAGGCCCGCCACGTTTATGAAGTCGAGCACGAGCTGCCCACATCCCCATGTGCCATAATAGCCCACTTGTATGTTGTGAGAAGAGGCAAAGTAAAAGGGGAGGTGATAAATACAGGGAAGAGAGATAAAGAGAAGACAAACAAAGAACGAAAAAGAGAGAGCAAGGGAAAGTACGGAGTGTGGAATGAAGGTGAAGGCAAAGGAGAGGATAAGAAAAGGCTCAAGAAGAAGTTTGTCCTTGATGACAGAGAGGACACACATTGTAAGGATGAGGTGGATGAGCACATGGAAGACCTAGCTAAGCATTCTCAGTACAATAATTGCCTCAACAGCTGGCACTGAGCATGCCCACCATTCACCCCCGACAAATGGCATGTCGATTGCAGGCCAAAACAAAGGATGAACGTTCACCACAAAAGACCATGTATTCAGTATAGCGCCCATGACCGTTAAATGGACATGTGGTGTCCAGGTGCAAGTGTAATAGTGTTTGCAGTTGTGCAAAGGATAAAGTCGCAGAACGTTGGTGGATTGCAATTTGCGAAACAAACGACAAAAAAAAAAAAAAAAAAACCGACAAACATGAAGAGCACAGTGAAACCATTCATTTTACTCATTCTTCTTTTGACTCCCCTTTCACCGTGCCTCTCACGTACAAGGCTCGCCACGTTGATGAAGTTGATCGTGAGCTGCCCCCATCCCCGTGTGCCATAACAGCCCACTTGTACGCTGTGAGAAAGAGGCAGAGTGAAGGGAGAGGGGATAAACACAGGGAGGAGAGATGGAGACCAGACAAACAAAGAACGATAAAGGGAAAGTAAGGGAAAGTATGGAGTGTGGAGTGAAGATGAAGGCAAAAGAGGATAAGAAAAGGTTCATGAATGTGTCTGTCCTTGACGACAAAGAGGACATACATTGTAAGGATGACGTGGATGAACACATGGAAGACCTAGTTGAGCATTCTCAGTGCAACAATTGCCACGACGGGTGGCATTGAGCATGCCCGCCATACACCCCCGACAAATGGCATGTCGATTGCAGGCCAAAATGAAAGAAGAACGGTCACCACAAAAGAGCATGCATTCAGTATAGCGCCATATATATATATATATATATATATCGTCACATATATATATAATAAATTTGACAATATATAATATTATATATATATTGTCACATAACTATGAACTAAAAGAGCGCAATTTGCGAAACAAACGGCAAAAATACTAAATAAAAAAAAAACAAAACAAACATGAAGGGCACAGTGAAACCATTCATTTTACTCTTTCTTTTGACTCCCCTTTCACCGTGCCTCTCACGTACAAGGCTCGCCACGTTGATGAAGTTGAGCGCGAGCTGCCCCCGTCCCCGTGTGCCATAACAACCCACTTGTACGCTGTGAGAAAGAGGCAGAGTGAAGAGGGAGGAGAGATGGAGAGCACACAAACAAAGAACGATAAAGGGGAAGTAAGGGAAAGTATGGAGTGTGGAGTGAAGATGAAGGCAAAAGAGGATAAGAAAAGGTTCAAGAATGAGTCTGTCCTTGATGACAGAGAGGACATACATTGTAAGGATAATGTGGATGAACACATGGAAGACCTAGCTGAGCATTCTCAGTGCAACAATTGCCACGATGGGTGGCATTGAGCATGCCCGCCATACACCCCTGACAAATGGCATGTCGATTGCAGGCCAAAATGAAAGAAGAACGGTCACCACAAAAGAGCATGCATTCAGTATAGCGCCCATGGCTGCAAAATGGACATATAGCGTCCGGATGCGGAGGGTGCCTGCAGTCAGGAACGGTGGGACAATTCTCTGCACACATGGATGCAGAAACCATGTCATTATAGTGATTGTGACAGAGAGGATGGCGGCTACAGCCGAGTGTAACAGTGTTTGTGGTTGGAGAAGGTCACAGAGTGTTGGTGCATTGTTTTGCTGCAGCACGGGGCCAGAGGAATGATCTTCGACATAAAAGAGATTGCGGACGGTTTGTTGTGGCAAGAAAACAGCATCATTTTGTAAGAAATCAGTGACATCAATCATGGCATGAACCATGGTGCCGTTGTCCCACAGCTCCCAATGGTCAGAGACATGTACAATGGCCATGTAATAGCCAGGGTCGTGCACAATGCAGACAGAGATGTGGGATGGAGGATTAAACCACTCACTTGCTCGAGCATTGCGCAATTCAAGTTGACGGTCCCTCGTTGCTACTTGTAGGACAGCAATGGTAAAGCCTCCTTCGCTCGTATAATTACAATCCTCTGGCTGTCGTTGGGGAAGATCAACATCAAGCTGAAGGGCGACAGCAAGGAAGTCTGATGGTGTATAAAACGGGCGATGGAGAATGTGAAGACAGATATTAGTTGTTGTCAAACCACAGAGATTGGTGAGGTTCTCAGGCTGGTTTGTTGGATGCTGGCCAACAATTTGCAGATCACCCAAATGGTGTTGCAAGCCCAAACTATGTTGGGTTGTTTGATGGTCAGCCATTTGCAGATCGCCCATGTGGTCTGCATGTGGCGGAGCACAAAATTGTGGTTCATCCGAACAATGCTGGTCAACCATTTGCAGATCCCCCATGTGGTCTACGCCTTGTGGGGTCAACTGCAATCCGGGCAGATCATGTTCCAATCCCTCAATGTTTAGGGCTGCATCCTGAGTAGGGACTGTACCTGGAGTCGGGAGTGTACTTTGGGCAGCGACTGCATCCTGAGTAGGGACTGGTGGCTGCCTGCAGGCAGCTGGACTGTCTGCATGAGGCATAGGAGCGGATATTGCCATTTGAAACAAAGGAACCGCAACAACCTGTGGAGGAGGCACAAAGAGAATCAGGGCAGACAAAGAAACAGGTTGCTGATCCCCGGACAAGTGACGATGTCACGGATGTCGTCGGTGATACACAACAAGAGGAGTAGTGGTGTTGCAAACAGAAGCTGAACTTGTACCTAGCAACACAGGTGGAACAATGGGAACAATGGAAACTGGAGAGTCTGTTCGCAAGCGAGACTGTGGAGGAGATGGGGGTGGTGAGGAGGAACACAGTTGTTTACGGCCAAGCACATACAAAGATGAGAGGGGGGTGCACTGGGCAAGATTTCGGAGCAAAGGACGTGAGCGTCAGAGAGATCGTGATGTTCTTTGCATTGGAGCTGCAAGACAGGAAACTGTAGCAGTAAAAACTAAAGTAGGGGAAATTACAGTTAGGGAAACTGCTCTACTGAAAACTGCAACAGTGGAAACTGCAGCAGTAGAAATTGCAATGGCAGAAACTGGAGCAATGGAAACTGCAGTAGTGGACACTGCAGCAGTGGACCGAAAACAGTGGACACTGCAACAGTGGAAACAGGAGCAGTGGAAACTGCAGCAGTGGACACTGCAGCAGTGGAAACCGCAGTGAAGACTCCAGCAGTGGAAACTGCAGGAATGGAAACTGTGGTAGCAGCAGATGAGTAAGCAGGGGCAGGACGAGAGCATCGTGGGGGCGAAGAAGAAATTGGATGATACAAGGACCATCGCAACATGTGTCGGAACCACTGAGAGAGACGCGTCACATATGTCGGATAGCGACGTTGGCGGGAGCGCATGTAGCAAGTTCACCCCTTAGCAAGGGTTGGTGGGGAATGCCCATGCGAAAGCATACAACGAGTAAGTGTTGTTGCCGCAGTTCGAAAGTCCTGCCAATTGTTATAGATTTGTTCAAATCTGGTCAATTGCCCAGTGAACACACCAGCCGGTTGATGGGAAGGGATGTTGGAGGTCGCACTTGGATAACGAATGACAGGGAAGTCCCAAGCAGCCCCTTTATCAAAGATGCTCATGCGAAGCGAGCCATCGGAACGGACCCGTAGCTGCATACCTAAAAAGGTACAGGAGACATCTGTAGCTGTAGTCTCCTTCCACTCAAGCCCATAGTGTTCACGTGGAGGAGGTAATTGTCCCCATGAAAGAACATCATCAATGAGACGATAAGTGAAGGCATATTGTTGAGCAGCTTGAAGATCATGTTGACGAATGTCATCAACAAAGCGTGCTTCATCCCAATACAGCGTCAGATTAGAATTTTTTGGGCCAGCATTCTTTCCCATTGGAATACCGATAATTTGTTTCCGAAGCGTGCCATCTCTCGTGTATAGAAAAGTGTTTTGTACAACAAAGCGAAGATGTTGGAGAATCCGAGAAACTGAAAGGGTATCCGGGCCTGAATCAGTTGTCGATTGGCCACAACTAGGTCCTCAAATAACCATGTTGAGGGCAACGCAGCGTGAATGCGTGCAAGCTTGCCGAGGGGCATAAGCATGAGCTTCATCAACAACTTTTGCCACATTATTTAGAATGCGATCATGAGGAAGGTTGGTGACCGCATTCTGAATAATGTGGCAAAAGTTGTTGATGAAGCTCATGCTTATGCCCTTCGGCAAGCTTGCACGCATTCACGCTGTGTTGCCCTCAATATGGTTATTCGAGGGCCTAGTTGTGGCCAAAGGACAACTGATTCAGGCCCGCCTGCAGCTCCAATGCAAAGAACATCACAATCTCTCAGACGCTCACGTCCTTTGCTCCGAAATCTTGCCCAATGCACCCCCCTCTCATCTTTGTCTGTGCTTGGCTGTAGACGATTGCGTTCCTCCTCACCACCCCCATCTCCTCCACGGTCTCTCTCTCTCTCTCTCTCTCTCTCTCTCTCTCTCTCTCTCTCTC